CCTTTCTGTTAAGGGTCAGTGAATAAATTCAAGGAAAGCATTTAGAGCAGTGCCTAGATATGGTTGGCATCATCTGGTGGCACACTGAGCTACTGCTGAGAACACTCTCCTAGCCCTCTTTGGAGATCGTGTCATTATGTTAGTCCTTACTTGGTTGCGATTTAACCATTATTAATGCAGTTTCAATAAGTAATATCTTGATGCTTATTTTTTGTAAATATTTTATAGATATATGTCTCCTCTCTCTCCTCTCTCTCCTCTCTCTCCTCCCTCTCTCTCCTCTCTCTCCTCCCTCTCTCTCTCTCTCTCTCTCTCTCTCTCTCTCTCTCTCTCTCTCTCTCTCCCTCTCTCTCCCTCTCTCCCCTCTCTCCCTCTCTCCCTCTCTCCCCTCTCTCCCCTCTCTCCCCTCTCTCCCCTCTCTCCCTCTCTCCCCTCTCTCCCCTCTCTCCCTCTCTCCCCTCTCTCCCTCTCTCCCTCTCTCCCTCTCTCCCCTCTCTCCCCTCTCTCCCCTCTCTCCCCTCTCTCCCCTCTCTCCCCTCTCTCCCCTCTCTCCCTCTCTCCCCTCTCTCCCCTCTCTCCCCTCTCTCCCTCTCTCTCTCTCTCTCTCTCTCTCTCTCTCTCTCTCTCCCTCTCTCTCTCTCTCTCTCTCTCTCTCTCTCTCTCTCTCTCTCTCTCTCTCTCTCTCTCTCTCTCTCTCTCTCTCTCTCTCTCTCTCTCTCTCTCTCTCTCTCTCTCTCTCTCTCTCTCTCTCTCTCTCTCTCTCTCTCTCTCTCTCTCTCTCTCTCTCTCTCTCTCTCTCTCTCTCTCTCTCTCTCTCTCTCTCTCTCTCTCTCTCTCTCTCTCTCTCTCTCTCTCTCTCTCTCTCTCTCTCTCTCTCTCTCTCTCTCTCTCTCTCTCTCTCTCTCTCTCTCTCTCTCTCTCTCTCTCTCTCTCTCTCTCTCTCTCTCTCTCTCTCTCTCTCTCTCTCTCTCTCTCTCTCTCTCTCTCTCTCTCTCTCATTTTTCCAGACGGAACTCACAGACATCCGCCTGCCTCTGCCTCCCGAGTGCTGGGATTAAAGGTGTGCACCACCAACACCCATTTTCAAAAGAGAGTTTTTTAAAGACAACACAATATTTAAAAATTTATCCTAGCAGGGAGTGGTAATGCACACCTTTCAGCTCAGCACTCCAGAAGCAAGCAGATCTCTGTAAATTTCAGGCCAGTCTGGCCTATATAATGAGTTCCAGGTCAGCTGGGAGAGAGCTGTCTATAAAACAACAAAAATAACAACAATAACAACAAAAAACCCCTCCAAACAAAAAAACAAGTCTACTCTAGGTGTTGGGGTTTAATTACCCATCAGCAGCAGAGCCCATGATAGTTGGCACAAGGCTCTGGGTTCAATCCTAGCACGACCCCAAACAAGTTTACTCTGCAAAACACTTGCACATCTCTGTGAAAGCAGTATCAATGATCAGAACCACAATGAAGTTATGATTGCTTCAGTGCATCTGGGTTCCCAGGTTTGCTAATCTAGAGTGCATTTCCAGTGCGAAAGAGATTCACAAAGAGCACTTAGGAGACTCGAGGATGACAGTCGTACCACCACTCCATACAGCTCCCCCTAGCAGGGGAAACCAAATGGGTCTGTGGAGTCAGTGGAAGCAATGGTTCAAAACAAAGCATTTATTCTACACTGGCTGTTTACCCAGAATGACAGAGAAATGTATATGAAAATTAATAAAACAGAACACCAGTATTACAGCAGCTCAGGAAGTTCTTTATATCAGGAGGAAAGAAAACAGCTTTCCCCTAAGCATTGGCAACATCAGTAAGAGACATGTTACAGAGATCCTGTCATTTACACTTAAATTATGACATTTCACAATACCTGATACAACTGATTGTGAAATGAGAATATTCTGGAAAATATAAGGAATTTCCTTTCCTTAATACATCCTACTGAACAAAAATTTTTTCTTTTTGGTTTTACGAGACAGGGTTTCTCTGTATTGTTTTGGAGGCTGTCGGTCCAGCCCGGCCTCGAACTCACAGAGATCTGCCTGCCTCTGCCTCCCGAGTGCTGGGATTAAAGGCGTGTGCCTCCGCCGCCCAGCTCCTGAACAATTTTTAAACATGTTATTTGTGTCAGGCTCTTACTATGTAGTTCACCCCAGATTGGAACTGAACTCAGCATCCTTCCATCTCAGCCTCCCAAGCACTGTAATCCTTGGCAATCTCACTGAGCAATTTGTTTCCCCACAATTGCCAAGATTAAAGAAGCAGGGTATCATAGACATACAACACATATCCCTCTTCCACACATAAGAAACAGTGTTGTGCAAACCAGGCTATTACCAAAGCTCACCAGGATGCTTGAGGACAACTTCAGAGGAATGGAAAGAAAACTTAGATCTCAAGTCTAGTTCAGGCTCTGGCACTGCCTACTTCACAAGTCCTCAGGCCAGCCAGTCACCCCTCTATTAAATGAGAGGCACTCACTATGCATTCACAAGAGCTAACTACAATTCTAAATTTTCGTTTCAGTAAATAATGAGGATTCTTACTTCATACAAGCAAAGCAGGGTATTTCTAATGATTAGTTAATTACACACAAGCACCAAACACTTCAGTGTTTTCTGTACTTGGAAATTCCCAGCTGACAACACATGATGACCAAAAAAGGTCAGAATTAAACTCTTAAATGCAAAGTTATGCTCACCTTCCAGCCACTAACTTATTAACTCAGGTGACTAATTTCAGGCTACTCTTGGCTAGTTTTCTTGTGTTTAAAAATAGGGCAAAGACCATCATCCTAAATATGGGTAATAATATATTCAAAGTAACATTATTCTAAACTTTAGGATTTCTAGTTCTAAGAATAAAAACACCATACTTGAACTTACATAGAGATTTCACATGTAGCATTTTACCAAACACTATGACAGGCATATGAAATAGGGTGAGTCCTTTTATCCACACAGTCAAGAGTAGCTCTGAAGGGTAATTTGCCAGTCATTACTCAGTAAGTGTTGGAGCCCAGACTTTAATCCAGGTCATCTGATTTAAAATTTAATGATCTTTATGAGTGCAGTGGTCTTTGACCTCATGAGACAGAGGCAAAGGCAGGTGGATCTCTGTGAGTTTGAGGCCTCCCAAGGATATAGAGTAAGACCTTGCTTAAAAAGTGTTGATTTAAGCCAAAGTTAGGAAGACAAAAAAACAAAGGATAACACAATAAACAGAATGTAAGGAAGGATTTGTGTTGGTTGTGGTGGAGCATCCCTTTAATCCCAGCACTTAGGAGGCTAAGGCAGGAGATTTTTTGTGAGTCCAAGGTCAACCAGAGCTACATATTAAGACTTTGGCTCAAGCAACAACAAGAAGAAACAAAAAACAAAAGAAGGAAAAGAAAAGAAAAAAAGACTTTGGCAGTTGTAGAATCAATAAGCAAATTAACTAGATTTTTAAATTATTGATATATCAAACTTATAATTCCAAAAATTGTCACCTTATTTCAAAGACAAGTGTATAACAGTTTGCTAACTCAAAATATAAGGACAATATGAGAACAAACAGATTAAACTAGCTGGAGGTAAACTGGTAAACAGAATCAAAGCATTCGTGTTTATATGTATATTTTCTTCTGGAATGTGTACCTCAGGGATTTAACTGTATTATCAAATAAAGCTAAGAAATACAGCCCTAAAAATGCTTTTGCGTTTAGCAAACAAGCCAAACAGGAGAAATTACCACTTTAGAATCATTTTGCACCTTTATAAACTGGTCATATTTGTCTGGGGTAACAAAGTTCAATAAAAACATAACATTCCATACACAAACTATTGCCTAGTAAGTAAGTTTCTCCCCTAAAATCAGACCCAATGATAACACTATTCATAGATAATAAAGGTTGAAATATAGCCGGCCCAGAACTTTGGAGGCAGAGGCAGGTGGATCTCTGAGTTCAAGACAGCCTGGTATACACAGAGAAACCCTGACTAGAAAATTTAACAAAACTGTTGGACTATTAAATTCTTCATTACACCAAGAGAAAAATCGGGAGAACTTCTCTAGATGATCAATCAGTTTGTCTACAAAATGTCTACAAACATCAAGGAAGAACTGAAAGTCAAGATATATACTGCCTATATACATGCACAACACCAATCTCTGCATTATTAGATTTTTTGATGGAGTAGAAGGAAAGCAAAAGGTGGCTATGTAAAATCAACTGGAGGATAAGTCGACCATCCTGTCTTGCTCCAAGTACTTCCACTGCAGTGAAATACAAATGTTGGGGATTAGGGTTTGGAAAGGGCAGAGACCACTCTTTTTTAGGACAGCTGGAGGAAGAGCCAAAGTCCACAGTAAGAGCTCTGAGAAATGACGGTCCCTTCCTTTGGCAACTCTGTACCCTCATGCCTGCACTTCATGGAGATACATTTAGCATAACGAAAGGTCCTGGAAATCAGCGCGGTCATCAGCCGCGAAGACCTCCTTTCATTTAAGCCAAGGTTCTGGACACCCTGGGAGGAGGGTGCTTTTTAGAAGCCAAGGACGGCTTCCAAGTCTGGAACGACTCGGGAGTGTCTGGGTTCAGCGTTCCGGTAACCAACCGCGGAGAGGTGTCTCATGTAACCTGGCTGCCGCCAGGCTGACAGCCTGTCAGCAGTGACCTGAAACACTCAAGTGGAAAACAGCGTGTTCTGTATCTGCACCGCCCAAGCGTGAGAGCCACGGCAGAAACCGAGCTGTGGAGAGCCTCGGCTTGCGCCCCCGACTCCCCGCTTTCGTTTACCTACCCGCTCAGACCCCGGCTTCTTCGGATCTCAGGATCCTGGAAGCGGCTCCCAGCACCGACTCTCACACCCGCCGCTGGGCTCCGGCCAACCGGAACTCCCTCGCGTCACTTCCGGTCCGTTCCCCCAAGGAGCCGCCTCCAAAAGAGAAATGTTCCACCTTCCTTTTGGCAACCCGAGAGGATCCTCGCGGGATTTCAGTTCGGCTTTCTCAGTTCTGGCCCTGTGGGTGTGACAAGAGGCAGAATGACTGAGCTTTGTAGTTCCTGATCCGGAACCAGTTTTGTGGACACCCGGAAGAAGTAGGTGGCGCGCGAAGCGTGTTCCTCGTTCGGGTGTGGAGAACCGCAAGCGCTTCAGGTAAGTCTCGGTTCCTTCCAGGATGATGGAGAGGAGTGTAGTTCTTTTTGTCTTTACTGGAAGGTATCTTACCATCTTATCCCATTGAGTTGGGCCCGTTTTAGCTACTTCGTAAACTGTCTTCCGCCCAGTGGCCGCTGGAAGTCTTGCCCAGTCTGCAAACCTTCCTCTGGAAGAAGAAACCAAGGTGCTGGGAAGGGATAGAACCCAAAATTTTAGTGTCTAGCAAAGCCCCCTCATTTAGGTGGCACTGATACGCCGTGCTAGCGTGAGAAAACGGAGAGCAGGCCTAACACTGTAAATACTAAATCGAGTCGTTCATCCTTGCTCCGACAGGGAAAGAATTCTATCAAAAGTATTTCTGTTTCTTGGTATTGTGGTGCATGCTAGGCAAAGCGCTCTACCCTGGAGCTGTTGTTAATCCCCTAGATGCGAGGAGAAAGACCACGGACCCCATATCATGGCCAAATTAATTAAAGCAACCTCTTTTTATTCGTGCACATGGGCTGTCTCTCCCTAATGGAGTGGTTTCAAGAGATCAGCACTGGACATGGGGAAGATAAGGAACTTCATAGTTCAGGAGTAGAGGATTTTCAAATGGGGGATTTAGCAGGCAAAAAGGCGGAGTTACAGAAGCAGAACATAAGTATCAGTACAACCTCCTGAAACAAAGACATGGTTGCCATTTCCAGGAACAGGCATTACAGAACCTTTTGTAGTTAAGATTATAGGTGGGGCATGGCTCAATCTTTGAGAAACAAATTTAACCATAAACAGAAACAAACACAGTTTTTTTTTTTACTATGTGATGTTTTCAAGCCTAAGATGGAGGCAGGCTGGTTTATCATTATTCCTCACCAAGCTTTCCAGTCTGGTCTTGAACTTGCGATGCTCTTCCTTTAACCACCTCTCCCAAAGATTGGAGTTATCAAAAGTAAAAGTTTTTGATATAATATGGTTGCCCTGGATCTTGTTCTGTACACCAGGCTAGCTTCGAACTCACAGAGGTCTGCTTGCCTCTGCCTCCATCATGCTGGGCCACCACTGCCCTGACACATTTTCTTAAAAATCAAGGCACAAGCCCCATAGAGGTGGCGCACACCTTTAATCCCAGCACCTGGGAAGAGAGGCTGGTGGATCTCTGAGTTTGAGGCCAGTCTTGTCTACAAAGTCAGTTCCAGGACAGCCAGGGCTACACAGAGAAACCCTGTCTCAAAAAACTAAAAACACACAAAAGATGGACTGTTCAGTACCCCGGGTCTGATTATCAGCAATAAGAACTCAATCAAAACAAATATAAACAATACTTGAAAAAACTTGAAATCTAACAGAAATTGGAGGCCCACATTTGGAGCCAAAGCGTCCTGTACTTGGGTGTCTCTTTTTCTCCTAAACCTAAGTCTGTATTTAATAAAATCTCCAACTGCTTCTGAAATTCTTTCTGTGTTGAAACCACAATTCCCAGTTTTGCTTGATTTGAGCTTCCTAAGAGATGAAAAGAAGAAACTCCTAAGAGTGACAGTGTGGAGCAGCTGTCTCTCTTCTTTCATCACAGATAACCTGATAGACTTTATTGCCTGTCAAGGCCAGCTAGAAGCAGGGAGAAGTCACATTTGTTTTGAGAACTATCTCTTGAGGCTTTGCAACAGGGCCTGAACATAGTCCTCAGAGAGGGTTGGTTGGTTGGTTGGTTGATTGATTGATTGATCCATCCATCCATCAATCAGTTGATTGAGGAGGATTGGAAAAGAGTTTATAGACTGTGCTTCCATTCCCATTCCCTTCTTTGGAATAGGGTTACTTTATTGTAATTCATACCTGGCCCCAGACACACATGAGGTTATCACAAAGATGCATCAACTTGTCTGGTCTTACAGGTTTTTTCAGTGATGACAGTGCCATCCCAGTTTGATAGAGTGGTCACTAACCACTTTCAGACTGTTGAATGAATGAGAATTTGAATTATGGCTTAGCATAACATTAGAACTGAATATTTAGCCATAAGTTGAATGTATCTAACTATATAGCATTAATGGCTACCATATTGGACAGCTTAGTAAGATTGGAAAACTATGTAAGATTGCAGCTATATAAGACTGTATAATGCTATCCATGTTTCCAGGCAAATAGCAGGTAGTTTTGCTTAGGACACTGTAAAACTGTCAGATAGGTAAGGTGAGCATTGGGTCATAGTTAGATTAAGCAATTCAAAGAGGAAGGTTTAAGGTTTTAAGAGTCACCAGGGAGTGGTGAACAAAACTCAGTGGAACCCATAAGAAACAACTGTGGTGACAATGACAATGTCTGGTTCTTTGAGACAGGGTTTCACTGTGTATCCCTGGCTGTCCTGGAATGTGCTCTGTAGACCAGACTGGCCTTGAACAAAGAGATCTTCCTGCCTCTGTGTGCACCACCACCACCTAGCTCTTAAACACTTCTGATAGAGTGGGGAAGAGAGGCACCAATGCACAGTGATTGGGAGGAGCAGATAATTGAGATTGGAAGTAAAAGCAGAGAACTATGCCATGATGGGTCAAAAATTTTAGGAAAGGGCTTTTTCAGTTTGGAAACTGTAAGAACTGGTGGAGTAGATTATTGCATGGAGCTTGGCTTTGGAGGTTATCTGGAGCAAGAACCCTGATAAAACATGCTTGGTGATGCAGATGGCCCCAAGAAGAGTTTTATGGACATACTTATTTTACTGTGCTGTTAAAGGTTGTCTGTGAGACTATGAACATTGTCAAGCCCTGAGCTTATTGGTTGGTTTATAGTGAGGATGCAGAGAAAGAGACAGACTGAAACACCTTTAGAGGAATTAGTCTGATTGGGGTGACATGAGATTAGAACAGTGTTAATTAGTGACCGAATGCAAGTGTAGGACATAAGTAGGAAACATGGGAATCTTTCTGTGTAGGTGGAGTTTCTCTGTGTCCCAGAAACTGCTACACAAGAACCACACTAAGTCTTAATATTATAAATGCTCAGCCAATAGCTCATGTTTGTTACTAACTAGCTTTTACAACTTAACCCATTTCTGTTTATTTGTGTGCTGCCCTGAGGCTTGTGGCTTTTACCTTTATCCCATTTTGTGAGTCCAACCCTTTCTTTGATAGGTGACTCCTCTGATCCTGCTCTTCCTCACCCCATCATTCTCAGTTTGGCTTTCCTGCCTAACTTTATCCTGTTCAGCTATTGGCCAGTCAGCTTGTTTATTAAACCAATTATGGACATATATTCACACAGTGTACAGTGTATACAACATTTCCCCCACTTTTTGTCTAGTTAAAAAAGGTTTTAACTTTAACTTAGTAAAATGATACATACCAAAAACAGCTATGAAGAGTTACAGTTACAATAACTAATCTATTTGTATTTGGCAATTATTTATCTTGTTGAGTCTAAAGTTTTACATCTAATTTACCTTTTAGTATACTTAAGGAAAACTATAAATATAACTATCTAGTCTTTAACTCCATCAAAGACCCCAGAAGGGTGAAATTTTACATAGTGACAGAGACATCAGGCTGCCTGGACAGTCACTCAGAGTTCCTTTGTAACATTGGGGCATCCAACTCTGGCATATAGGCCTAGCATATTTGACGGACTTTCATGTAAAGCAGGGATTCTGAAGGGCTGTCCTACCTTGTCTTGGCAAAGTTCAGCAGTTGCTTTTTTTTTAACACCCTGCTAGTCCAATTTAGACAATACACTGTCAGCAATTGAGGCAAGGGAATTTCTTTGCCCCCATGGCTAGCTTTTGCCATAAAGAAAATGAATTCCATATGGAGTTTCTTCAATGCCCATCATCTTCTCTGAAGTCGATTGGTGTGGGAACACCAGACTTCGAGCAGAGACCCACTTCCCCATCAGCCTGGGAGTAGGCAGCTGTAAGACAATGTTTACTAAAAACATGTTTATTAAAAACAGTACAATGCCTGGGGCAAAAAGTTCCTGAAAAGGGTTTGCCCACCGGAACTGCCCTGTCCTCGACCTTTTCCAAAGACTAACCGCATCTTCAGATCCACCCGCCACCACCTCTGGTGTCAGGGTATATAATAACCATCCAGAGTAGGAATAAAGGAGAGCCTTCTTGAGGAGCCTTCGGGTCTCTGTGTTGTCAGTCCCTGATACCCTCCGCACATTCTCGGACATAGGCGCAGGACAGGGTGTCCCTACAATTCCCCCTTTTTTATTTTCTAATGAGGCACTCCTGGCTTAGGTCAAGTAGAGTCACCCTCCCTTGGCCGTCTTTGGGGGACCTTGTAACCCCTGTCTTAGGTGGGAGATGTCTTCCCCACATGTTGTCCATCAACGGGAGAGCCTCATCCTTAAATCATCTGTAACCAGACTTCATGGCTACCGGGATTGTCATGGGCTAAGCTAAGCAATACTTGGTTACAGATCTCTTGCCTCTAGAACAAGGCATGTTTGAGCTTGGCATAGAGCCAGAATGCCTACTGCCACTGGCACCATTTCCAGGACCTCCATTGACATAGCGCCTCTCCATCACCGTACCCATCACCAGATCTGGGCCATAACATTCTACCAGCCTTCCTCTGTTACAAGGGTAACCCGCATGTGATTTACAGTTACAATTTGATGGTCAAAACAGTGATAAAGTTTACAATCGTTCCAAGATCTACTCAGGAAAGCATTTAGAAAGTGCACTTGCACAGACACATTAGGTACAATCATTGATGTTACAAATGTAGCATTATAAAAAATATGAACAAGAGGCTTGTTGCACTATCCATAGAACACCAATTTGCTCCTGTGGTGATGCAGTTTGCTGATTTAATGTTACTAGCCTCAGCTGAATATGCGAACTGAGAAAAAGTCTCCTTTTTGTCGCATTAGGACAAGTTGCATTTCTCCAGAAATATACACTGGCATAGGCGCGATTCCAGAAACAGGAACCACCAAGTCTGATATTTCAAGTGACCAGGCCTGTTCAAGTACTGAAAAGAGGCTTTTACCACTCATCACAGTTCATACCAATG